AACCACGCGACGCGTGCAATTTCCTGTTGGCTTTCAACTTTCTTGTTTGCTCAGCTCGCAGCGGCGGCAACAACGACCACAAAGTTGGCAAACTGTTGTTAAAGTTGGCCGCGAGAAACTATCAAAACTTCTCTCAAGAATTTCACAAATTTAATTAATTGAATTTCATTTTTCAGCAACAAAAAAAAGAATAAACATTTTTCATTTATGTGCATCCAATGCAAGCCAAATCATCTGACTGATCTAATATCGAGCATTACTTGTTGGATAGTTTTTAATGTAATTTGCATCGAAATAAATTTTACTTTCAACCATCCCAATTTTAGTAACGGTTTTGCTTTTATAGTTTTGGTTTTTGGTTTGGGTATCGCAATAAAATTGGCATATTTGTCAATAAATACCAAAATTTTAATTAATTTTCGCGCGCCACTTAAAATGGCAGTGAGTATAGAGCGGAGCTGTCAATGCCACAGTCAGTGGCACGCCCACTTTACCGCATCCCACCGCACTTGCCCAATTGGAACATTTTTGAAATGGGAAATGTTCGGAGACCGCAAACACTAAATTGCAAATAAATTTGTTTAAATATGCAATGGTGAAGCGTCAAGTCTCGCTGTGTGTGTGCATCTCTCTCTAAAACTGCGGCATTGCCAACGTCACCTGCTGAAAGCGTGAAGGGGCAGGGGGTTGGGAGGGTGTATTCGGGATAGCAGCAAGCGACATGAGACAACGACAAACGTGCGCATCAAATTTTAATAGGAAAACCCCAAAAAGTTCAAGCCACAAAGTCCATTTCCATGGCGCAATGGTAACAACCCCTGCCCCGCCCCCAGCTAGCCAGGCTGCCCCAAGCTGCTGGTGCAATTGCTGTTGTACGCTTTTGGTTTTCTGGCCAAGAAGATGTTGCATTGACATTGAATATTGATGAAAATAAATCGAATTTCCGCCAGGCAGCCGCAGCCGCAGCCCATTTGGCCCGTTGGCCAAAAAAAAATATGCCGGACGAGACGGAGAGAGATGGATCAGCTTGCCTAAAGCCAGCAGAAAAAAAATACAGAAGAAGAAGAAGAAGCAGAAGCTGAAGCACAAAACTGAGCAACATCTCCATATGCACATAGATACAAACATATAGACAGAGCTATATGTATACAGATAGATATATTGAGCTGTGTGTTTATATTGATTGCCAAATGGTTTGAGCCGGCAAAAAGGGTTCCGCCTGAATTCCGTATCTGCTTGAGTGTCAAAATCCCACGTTGCCTCACTCTCTGTGTGTGTGTGTGTGTGTTGCATGTGTGTGTTAGGAGACATTTGCGGTTTTTGTGATTCGAAGTTTCGCTTAAAGACAAATGAACGACGCCCAACATGGTTATAAATCCGAATATCGAAAAGTGTTCAAGAGTGTATGGATTAATGGAAGATTATTCCTGGAACTGAACTGATGTGGTTCCATTTCTATTTCTATTTCTATTCCTATTTCCATTTCCATTGCCAGAGCAGAGTGGCAAAGCAAATCATATATCAGCTTCCATTTCCGTTCAGTTTTTTCTGTGATATTTGATCTCAATTTGGACTAATAATATCGATTTCTCTAATTGCACTCTTGTTTTAAATGTTCTGCTTGTGATTTTCAATAGATAAAATAGCGTTCCGCATCATAAACTTGGGCAATTAAATCACTTATTTATACCTGTTGTTATTCAAAGTTGGCCCGTTTATTGCAGCTTATTTGATCTACAAATTTGTAGCCTTTTCTTATAATTAACGAATAAACCATTAGCAATATTTATTACTATTACGCCCAGTGAATCCATATTAAACTTTGAGTACTCCAGATCAGAGCACAATTTACAGCAGCCAGACTTTTTTGTGCGTGTAATTTAATTACTGAAAGCAAACTTATCAAGTGATACCCAATCTGCTATGTGTTGCATGCAACAAATAAAGGCCCCGTTAAACACTTACAAAGCCATTGAGCTTCCATTCATTAGTCATTTTATGATTTTTTAACACACACACACAGTTTTTACCATATCGTTTTCAGCAACATCTCTTCCCCTGGCACTCCTCTCATGTTGCCATTGGATGGATGCTGGGCAGAAAGCGGCGCAGTTAACACTTGATTTGTATTTAAAAATTATTGACCAATTCATGGCTGCTGATTAAGTTTGTGTTTCTGCTTGTCAAGCAGGGGCGTGGGCGGCGGGGCAGTGGCGGGTGGCGGCTGAATGAGTGTATCGGCTGAAACGTTGGCAACCGATTGATTTTTGCACAGCCACAAGGCGGGAAATTGCATAAGCGCCACCCAAACAGACACGGCTCATATGAAAATTCAATTTTCCAGTGATTGATCATACACACACACAAAGTGCGGCAGTGGGGGTTAGTTAACCACACACAAACACACACACACACAGATATGGAGACCCAGACACATATGGAGAGGCACGTCAAGTCGGTTTGTTTGCTGGGCCATACACAAAAATAATGTAATTAAAGCAATGTTTGCATAATAAAAATTAATATTTGTTGCATTTTGTGTCAGAGGACAACAAATACACCACACACACAGACACACACACAGACACACACACACACACACTAGCAACACACATAATAAGTGCACCCACATTTATGCACTTAGAAATAATTATTTTTGAATTGAGAAAATCAAACTAAACATAGAAATTGTGCTTATCGTTTGTGCATTGAAATGTTGCCAAAAATATATCTTTTATTTATAGTCTTGGCAGTTTTTGAAATTATATTCTTTTTTTTTTTGGTTTTTTTTTTTGAGTGTAGCCACGCCCCTCTCACTTACCTGTTTACCTAGCCAGAACAGTTTGTCTGCTGCTTGCTTTATGCGGGCTGTCAAATTCAGACAGTTTGCACACATGATGTAACCATCCCCCTCCCTCCTCCTCCTCCCTCCTTTGCCCAGCCACTTCAAAGCTGCTGCTGCTGCTGCTGCTGTTGCTGCTGCTGATGTCGCTGCTGCTGTTGTCGCTGTCCAGCAACAGTCCCCTTTCTGTTTGTTCAAGTTTCGTTTCAGCAAATTATGTTCGCAGCATATGGAGAAGAAGGGATTTACACATTGGGCAACACAACATGGAGTGTCGTCTGTTGAGTGTCTGGACTGTGTTGCATGCAACCGTTCTCGTTGTCGTTGAATGCAAATATTGAAATAAGTCTTAATTGAATACAAATACTCAATTACATTGCGGCACATCTATTTTGTGGGCCCAGCACAAACAGTTTGCTCTGCCAAAAACCGAATAACCAAAAAACCCGAAAGCAATGCGAAAAGTATCTTTTCGAACAGTTTGGCAACTGTTCAACACTTTTACTTCATAATTTCCATTTTGATTATGGCCAAAATGTGTAGCCGGTCCTTAGACAGACTCCCCCCTTTTCTCAATCAGCTACCAAAATGGTTATGGTAATGCGTTCGTGTGTGTGTTGTGTGGGTGCCAAAAGGGTGAAGGATTAGTCTGTCACAATTGGAATGCGGGCAGTGTCTATACACATTGTGAGAATTCAGTTAAAGATTCTGTATCAGCGGAGAGCCACCATTGATTTTAGCGGATTTATATATATCTTTAACAATAATTGGGCTTATTGAGTAATGCAGTTATGCAAATATCACTTACATCAAAGAATTCTGGGTTCTACTTAAACCTCGAGTGATGTAATGTTGCAGATAAGTTTCTAGAATTATTAAAAATTATAAAAAGAAAAAAATTAGATCATGGCCCATGAGGGGATCGAACCCGCGACCTTCGCGTTATTAGCACGACGCTCTAGCCAGCTGAGCTAATGGGCCGATGTGACTGTCACCAGTTCAAAATGCTACTCAAACACAATTTCCACATTGAATGCAGCTATTGCACGACTATTTATAGAATCGAATGGTATTCAATATATATATTTGTCAACTATATTTATCTCTTCTAATTAATAAGATTAGATTCTATTCAACTTATTTGTTGGCAATGTATTTATTTTGATAATTTATTTATAGATTAATGCCAAAGACAATTGAGATACATATATATACTATATTCTTCTAGATTCGTTTCGTGCTTCAATTAAATAATTTATTAAAATAGACAATACATCCACCATTAAAAATAATAAAAATTTTTACACATTTTAAATGTTTTCCAAAATCTCAAAACTGTATTTATAGGTAAAGCAAGTACTTGCTTATGCCTAGACTATAATACTCTATTTCATAGGAATCAACTTGCTTCAAGTAGTTTGAGTTGCACTTCCAAATGCGCCCTGTGGGAGCACAAGGACTTAATGGCAGTATTTGTTCATCCATTGTTCGCTGGCAACTCGAATGTATTTCGAGAAGCTCAAAGCTTCAAACCGATAAACCCTAAGTCCGCAACTCAAACTAAAACGCAAACCAAGTAACACATTTGACACTTCATTAAAAAGCAACATTAGCAAAATCAATTAGAGAGTATTCCCCAAGCACCACAGGACACAGTGGCGCACATAACCAACCAGTAAGAGCAAATAGAGATTGTTAGACACACATAGATATATTGTGATGGAGATGAATATACATATAGATAAAGATGGATAGATAAAGCGATGATGACGATGATGTTGATGCTGATGTTGATTTTGATGATGATGCGGGGGGAGTTTCAGTAACTTTGTTGTTTTTGGCTAGCAAATAAACAAACAATTGAGATACACAAGCCACGCCCATTGTATCTGCTGTTGTTGTTGGTTCACCCAACTCTGACGCTGATTCGCAAATTGTTTGAAAACCAGACGAGACGACAACGAGAGAATCCAGAGACATGAGAACGAGTTGAGTTGAGTTGAGCTGAGCTGCAGCTGAGCCGAGAGCCGAGAGCCGAGACGGGAATGGAGACTTTGTTTGCACTTTGAATTGCCGGTGAACGATATTTGCAGTGGTAAATCACCAGACGGCCGGAGCTTGTTGCAAATGCATGAAAATTAATTAAAAACGTGTTTATTCGTTTGTTTGTAGAATAAAACAAAAAACGAAACAATTTATTTCTTAATAAATGAACAATCTGGCGCACACGTATTGATCACCCGGCCGAGCCACTCGCGTATGTACTCGGATGTCTGCAGACCGACCATGCGGTTCAGCACCTTGCCGTTGTGCATCACCAGCAGCGATGGCACCGAGCCCACCTGGTAGTCCAGCGCCAGCTCCGTCAGTTCATCGATATCGACACGGGCCAAATGGATGCCGCCCCTCTGCTCCGATACAATGCTAGCAACGCGGGGCGCAAGTGCCTTGCATGGTGTGCACCAGCTGTGAGAACCATATCGATTTCGATTAAAATCTGTAAGCGTGTGTTATTATCGATTATAGCTATCGGTTTACCTGGCATGGAAGTCGACAACCACCGGCTTCTCACAACGCTTCACATTATTTTCGAAATCTTTGATATTCTCAACATCGAAAATGGTTCGCTTTCCAGTTGCTGCTCTGCGATAATTATTTCGGCATATCTGCGATGATCCAATAACATTTTTAAGAAATTTCAGCTGTGCTGCCTTGTTCGTTCTCAACATTTTCGTAAATTTTGATAAAAAAAAGAATACTTTTGATTTTTTGTTGCGTTCAAAACGTTTTTCAATAAATAATGAAGCTTCGAAAAATGAAAAAAGTCTCTTCAAATAGTTTTGACAGCTTCTCAAACGGCGACTGTAATTATTATTTTGAATAAGAGAAGAGGTAAGAATATCTCCACTTTCTAAAATTTGTACACTATATAAGTATAGCAAGATTATATATATAAAGTAATCGCTTGTTTTTTAATGTACTCAGAGCTTTATTGAAGATATGTAAGGATCACCTTAACAGTTACATGAGTGTAAGGCGATTCTTTTTGAAGCATTGGTATATTTGAAATCCTGTATCGCATTTATCGGCACCTTTGATGCCTTCACAGCTGGTTACAAAGGCATTCGCTTTATCAGCGCCTGCAAGGGGCGTTGTAATCTTCAGCACCTCATCCTTATTCATCTGGCCATCGGCTATGAAGCTGAACTTCTCCAAGTAACAGTTGGCAAAGCACTTGACCTGGTCATCGACATTCTCCAAGCTGTCGTTGTGCAACGCAATCGCTTGATCCTTGGTGATGCCCTGCTCCTGAATACATTGATCGACATTTACGCGAATCATTGTCTTCTGCTCCTCGGTCAGCTGTGGCAGGCATTGTCAGTTAACATATAGCAAAAGTATTTCACAATTTAATACTTACCTCGATGGCCAGGGCCACAGAGAACACGGCCAGCAGCAGTACTATTGTAAATTTCATTACGAGGTTTATTCCCTTTATGGATGACTTCTGTCTGTTGTCAGAGTTCACTTTGCGATTCTCTTTTATATGAAATTTGCGCTTAATTTAAGAGTTAAACAAATGCAACTGCAACAGTTGAATGCACTAATTTATATCGCATTAATTTAATCACAATAATTGCAAGACCAATCATAATTTTTGACGGCTTTTTATTGCAATTATTCTATTATTTTACTGAATTTACTAAACTATTTAATGCAATTTGTCGGTAATTTTGATAGTTTGTGTGAAATGCACGTAAACAGAAACGGGAGGTGTCATCCATTGTATAAAATATATATTAGATTAAGATTAAAATGAATAATGATAGTCTGTGTTTTGGTTTATATATGCGCTTATCTTATTATTATTTTGAATCGTACTCAAATTCACTTTTATATATAATTTTTACATAAATTCCAATTGAAAATCGTGTTTCTAAATTTAGTCTAGTGAAAAGTTTTGTGTAGAATCTCAATCTTATATAATTCGGTTCAGTTTTGATGAAGTTATTGAGACCAGTTCCTGCCAGAGTTGAAATGGCTTTCAAGAGTCATCCGAACTGAATATGTCAATATATTTATTATGTTTTTTTTTTGAATACCTTTTCTCTCTCTTCACTCTTTTGTGTGCAGTGCAAATCTTAGTCGCATAGAGGCTTAAACAATTCCCTACATTACTATTTTCGCATGCTTTCTTGGCTATAATCCAGGCTAATCAAGCGACCTACTTGCTAAGTAAGCTCCAATGAGATTGCTTTAAATTTTGTTTGCCTGTTGGCTTGGTCAGCAGCTCAGCTCAGCTCATGTATATGCCTACATCTGTCCCCTCCCCACCTCCTATATAAGCATATATATATATATATATATTTGGGTCACATTAGATCGCATGCGGCTGATAACATTAAGCAGGCACTTTCTCCATTTGGCCATGTTTACTTGCTCAAATGAATGATGAGCTCGTCTTGTGTGTGTTTGAGTGTGTGTGTGTGTTGTCTAAACATTTTTATGATTCAGGGTTAGAGATAGGATATATATGGTAGTATAGGGCTGTCATTCAGCTAGGCTTTACATAATCTACACTGCTTAAGGAGCGCCCTTTCAGCAATTAGTTTTGCGTTTTCGTTTTCGTTTTCCTTTTTGTTTTTGTTTTTGTGTGCATTCCTAAACCACATTTTAGATAAGTAGCCAAGTTTTGCAAAAGAGTTTGCTCTCCCTCTGATGGATGATTGACAAGCACTTGACAAGTGGGCTGAGTGGGTGTGGGAGGGACTGTGAGCCTTGCCAAGGCAACTCAAACTTAATGGCAACCTATGCATAAAGTGTGTGTAAGCAAAATCTAAATAATCATGCATACTATTTTCAAGTATATATATCCAAATATATGTATATATATATACGTATGTATATGTGTTCGGATAAGCCCATTCTATAATGTGAGAAAAATATGTGCATGCTGAGAAGAAACTGTATTTGTTATCATTTCCAAATTGTTGGCAAAATTAAATGAGTTTTGCACACACATTTATATATATATAAATATTTTCTATGGTGTGTCAAAATGAAAAGCATGACGTGGTGGAAAGTGTAGGTGTAGTGCCGGGGGAGGGGGAGGGGGAGGATGGGCGTTTGCGTCAAATGTAATTAAAAAACTTTGCAACCGCATCAACATAAATGTATGGCGCATAAAATTCTGTGCATTTGACAATTTTCGGTTTTGACATTTTCTCTCTGTGTGTCTGTGTGTGTGTGTGTGTGCCAGAAAAACAAAAACCGCTAGATTGTTGGGCGTGCATAATAAAAAGGGGCGTGGCGTATTGTATTTAGTGAGATTTAAGCTAAATTAAATACTTGAAAAGTTATTGTTGTTAATAAATAAATGCGGGCTGCACCATTTATCGATGGCCAGCCGGTCATTTAATGTGTTTAACACTTTTACGAGCTTCAACTCAACTCTCTTTTTGTTTGGGTTGGGGGAATGGGAATGGGAATGGGAATGGGGAACGAGCAATTTCATTTATTTTAATTGAAGTCAGCGGACAGCCCTTTTGGGCCATTGCCGGGGCCATAAAGTGTGTCCGAAACCGATACGAGTGCTGTGGCAAAGGCCTGATCGACTGTGAGATACTGTTTAAGCCAGCTGTAACTGCAGCTTGACTAATTGAAATATGCGACTAGGTTTGCCACGGTCTGATGTAGCTCGATCTAAACACACTAATTTAAAGACACTAAAAAGGTTTAGTCAATAATTGTTGTGTGTGTTTTTTAAATCAATCAATTGCAACAAATTTGCAGTTGCCAAAAATATAAGATTGCTTAAAAACGATAATGTATCTCAGAATAGGTGATATCTTTAGAGATAGTGTCAAATTTCTTATAGATGGCGACTACATTCTAATAGCTTGCAGAACTTATCTATATTACTTGCATTTATCATGTTTATAGTTGCAGGGTATCAGAAAGACATTTCCATTTAATTGCATTTAAATCGCAGGCCCAAATTCGTTCCCAAAACACCTTAATAGACCATTAAGGTGTGCATAGCTGTTAGGTCCACGCTCCAGTAAAAGGTCTACTTGCAATATGTTCAGGTAATAAACATTAAAAGTTCGAATTTAATTTCAAATGATAGCCCCATAAATTGTCTGAAGGTCGATTTAATCAATTATATGCATACATATATATTGAATTAATAATGCGACTTGAGATACGTATTTCTTTTGCGGAAGCTGTTAAGTGCTCTTCAACAAAAAAAAAAGTGAAATATAAATTGCTGAATGCATCGTTTTGGTCTCACACCCTCTTTCCAAAACTACCCCATTCGAAAAGCTATATATAAATAATTTAACTCATGTAATGCTCTATATATTTATATGCTTACTTTTCACTGAAATCATGTCATCCACCCAACCCCGCCCCAATTCGACTGGCAAGAAAGTGGCGCCGGCTAAACAAGCCTCCCACTCCAGCCTCTCCCTCCCATCTCGCTCTTAGCTCCAACCAGCTGGCTCCATAATTTTCCATTAGCTTTATTATATACTCATTTGCGCAAATGTCTTATATCATTGTTATTAGTAAATCTTATGCCTATGATTATTGCTAACTTGTATATATAAATATCTGTGTGTTTCTCTCTCTCTCTGTGTGTGTGTCTGCGATAAGCTCCCTCAACAACAGCTTCATCAGAGACTATTTCCTTTGGGGATGTGGCGCAAGGTTGTTGAACTCTGGCCCCCGGTTTTTTGGGGTCAGTTGGCTGAAATGCGTGAATAGTTTCGACAAACCAAATAAAAGAGCCGCGAAATAACGTTGCGAACAGTTTACTTAGGGGTTGCTTTGGTTTCAACTTGTGTTTTCTTACAATTCTCATAAATATCCGGTGTGCCGACCTTAACTTGTATATAAAAGATACTTTTATTACTATAAGCCAGAGCGACAAATCAAATCATATTTCGGTAAACTTTAAAGGTTTCGGTAATAGTTATAAATTGTACTTCATATTTTTGTCGGTATTCTGCTCCGTTATGATACTATATAGAGATATAATATCAGTTAATGTAAAGGATATCAAACATATCATTGCAAATGTATAAATATCTATCGGTCTGAAATGGATTCTGCCTTATCGCTACTTAAATATCCAAATGTAATGTATATATAAATCCCATACAACAATTGTCTATCAAAATCATTCACAATAATAATTAATTTTATTTACAGTTTGCATGTTTAGTTTTAAGCCGCTGCTTCAACTAATGAAACTGTTTAGCTGAATTGCTTTAATGTGTATGAGAGCAGATGAAAATCAAATTAAACACACTTAATTCAAATTGCAAATGCTTGACTATTGCCCAACACGAAGACAACACTTTCAGCAATAATTTAACAATTCACTCAAACCAGTTTGGCAAATGGCACAACACCTTTGTGTGTGTGGATGTGTGTGGCAAACTTTGTGCTCAGTCACTTTGTAGGCGAAGCTTCTCGTTCCAATTAGTGAAATGAGTGTTATTTGCATATTTTTGCAACTTTCATCAAATTATAATACACGTGACAAAAAGTTGTGTGTGTTGTCTGTCATTCATTAAACAAATTGTTATCTCATTTGATGCAATTCGAAAACTAGTAAGAAAAGTTAGCTTTGAAGTGCCGACGAACAAATGCCTTTGTAGATTGATTTTATATGTGGATTATGTGTGAGCTGATCTAAACCTAAATCGGGTAGGCAGTTGGGAAAGCAAAAGCAAACTGACGCAAGTTAGATACAATAATTGGATGAAAGTGCCAGGGTATCTTACAGTTTGTAATTAACATCTCAATCATCTCTCAACACTTTGCGATTACCCGGTTAGCAATAAAATAATGAGTAAGTTGATGTCATAACAAGGTTTTATGAAATCATTCAATTAAAGGATTTAAATGATTTTTAAGTAGTAAACATTTAAATGTGAGGCAAATGCGTAATTAAGTAAAATAGTCTGGAATTGCTATGCACATTAATTATATTAAAATTCACACGATCCGAGTTGAAGATTAAAATGATTTCAATTATATAAATTATAGTTGATGCATTTAAATTATTTATTCCATTTAACTCGTTCAGCATTGGAATTCAACTGGAACTCTCGATAACTGTCGAGAAGTATTCGCAATCCGCATAGCTTATATTAAATTCCAAGCATAACTCAGATGCATAGCCAAACAGCAAATTGTGTAATACCGAAATGCGCATAGCTGAGACCCCCTTTCCTTATAATCCCAATCAGAGCATTCCCCCCTTCCCGCAGGCATTGCAGTTACAACCATTTTTGATTGCATTAGATATAATAAATACATTTTCGGGTTTCTCTTGCAAATCCATCTTTGTGCTTTGGCCCACTTCGCTCTCTGTTTCTATCTATGTGTTGTTGGTATCATGTTTTGGGTTGCGTTCAGCACGTAAATTGAATATTTTATGCAATTTATTTTGTATACAAGTTGAAGTGCCTAAATATTCTCAGGGTGTT